GCCGGCATTGTAGTCTACTCTTCCAGGATCAGGAAACAGTCCTCCATAAAATGTGCTGCACACATCTGAATATTTGGGTTGAAGTGTTCTGGAACAGTGTTGTAAATACAACTTAACCACTGATTTCTAGTCGTGTCCTCTTTCGGAAGGCCAAACAAAGTAGTTTCGCTTTCACAACGAAACACATGGCGGGTTAGAGTGAGCGGAGGGTGGCTTGAGAATGGCCAGCGGGCTTGCAGCAACCACATGTGGCGACTCCGGGTTGGACTCCGCTTCATCCATGGTGAAAGCCGATCTGGTGATCCACAGCGTGGATTTGATGTATTTCCTCAGCAACCAGCACGGATCAGCTCCAGGCATGACGAAGCAGATATCGTCATCTTTTGGAAGGCCAAACAAAGTAGTTTCGCTTTCACAACGAAACACATGGCGGGTTAGAGTGAGCGGAGGGTGGCTTGAGAATGGCCAGCGGGCTTGCAGCAACCACATGTGGCGACTCCGGGTTGGACTCCGCTTCATCCATGGTGAAAGCCGATCTGGTGATCCACAGCGTGGATTTGATGTATTTCCTCAGCAACCAGCACGGATCAGCTCCAGGCATGACGAAGCAGATGTCTTTGCAACTTTACAGATCTTCTTTATGCACCAAGAGCTTGTAACACTCCAAAGAGACAGGAAAACTTGAAATCGCATCATATGACCCCTTTAACAAAAAACGTAAGTCTGATTAAAAAAGATACAGAAGAAGCAGCAGCAGCTGCTTAAACAGTATTTCAGTATGCTGGCTTTGTCAAGCAGACATAATTAGCGCTTCAGTGTTTAGCAAAGGTGAAAACATGCGTCAGATTCAGATCTGACAGTACTGTGTGTCGCAGAACTGACAGTTTTATCTTCTGCTGATGTGTGATTTTTGGTCAGCCGAGACAATGAGACGTTCAGATTCAGTAATTGCCCATCAGAGGTCACGTTTGTCAGGCAGAAGTAATTTATGGAATATATTTTGCATACATATTCTTGTGAAGCCAAAGTTCCATTGCGCCAAAGAAACAATTTGTGTTAAAATACTGCTATGTTGCTACGTTTTATACGTTTTGATGATAGGATGTGAGGAAAACCTTTCCTGTGAATTTCAACCAAAAAGACAAACTATGATGTTTATCCATCCTAACCAAAGAATTGTTATTTATTTTTTATACTAAAGTTTGGAGTCTGAAACATTTTTTTATGTTTTTGAAAGAAGTCTCTTCTGCTCACCAAGACTGCATTCATTTGATCAAAAATACAGTAAAACAGTAATATTGTGAAATATTATTACAATTTAAAATAACTGATTTCTATGTGAATATCTGTTAAAATGTAATTTATTCCTGTGATCAAAGCTGTATTTTCAGCATCATTACTCCAGTCTTCAGTGTCACACGATCCTTCGGAAATCAGTATAATATGCTGCTTTGCTGCTCAAGAAACATTTCTGATTATTATCAATATTGAAAACAGTTGTGCTGTCCAATATTTTTGTGGAAACCATCATGCATTTTATTCTTTGATGAATAGAAAGTTCAAAAGAACGGCATTTATTTGAAATAGAAATCTTTTGTAACATTATAAACATCTTCACCTTTTATCAATTTATTTCATCCTTACTTAACCAGATTCTCTCACCCAGAGCGTGTGCAGGACAGACAGGGGCAGGATCTCGTTCACCCTGCTGTCACCGGCTGTGAAGCACTCGACCCGCGCCGCCGGCTCTGAGCCGGGCTCCTGGAGGCACGCTGACGGCTGCACGGACACGAAGGGCAAATATGGCCGACCGTCATCGCTGTATTCACTGTTGACGGCCAGCAGACCTTCAGAGCTAGACAGGTTTCGCAGGGTTTTCTCCAGATCTGCCGAAGGGCCGTACACGGTCGACGCGTCGATGAAGGACGTGACTGAATTCATCTGCTGTCGCTGTCCAGCGGGACGCATGTCTGTCTGGACATTAATGCAGGCGGGTGAAGAACGGAAAAATGGAAGACAGCTTTTATTGCTGGACAGTTTACCCTCCTTGGGAGTCTGTGAAAGAAAAGAAATTACTGTATATCATTTTTTCAGATTTTGTTAAACCTAAAAGCATTGTTATATGTGACCCTGGAGCACAAAACCAGTCATAAGTGTAAATTTTTCAAAATTGAGATGTATACATCATCTGAAAGCTGAATAAATACGCTTTCCATTGATGTATGGTTTGTTAGGATAGGACAATATTTGGCTGAGATACAACTATTTGAAAATCTGAATCTGAGCGTGCAAAAAAATCTAAATATTAAGAAAATCATCTTTAAAGTTGTCCAAATGAAGTTCTTAGCAATGCATATTACTAATCAAAAATTAAGTTTGAATATATTTATGGTAGGAAATTTACAAAATATCTTCATGGAACATGATCTTTACTTAATATCCAAATTATTTTTGGCATAAAAGAAAAATTGATAATTTTGACCCATACAATGTATTTTTGGCTATTGCTACAAATATACCCCAGCGACTTAACACTGCTTTTGTGCTCCAGGGTCACATATATTCATGAAATGTAAATGCGAAGCCCGAACAATATCAGCAAAAACAAGTGATCAGAATACCCAATTATAGAAATAGTTCAAAAAATCAGTGTTGTTCATCCTCATTGATGTTAAATTTTAGTGCACCAGTCATATAGACTGTTATGATACTATTATAAGTGGTGGAAATGGGCTTCCATAGATATTAATGTCAGTACGGTAAAATTATCTTCCCTTGTTTGACATTTTTTAAAAGACATTTCAGAGCAAAATACATAATTATATAATATACTTGCATTATATAAGTATAGATACATAGCATTATAAACATACACAAGATTGGTGTAGGATTTACATTGAACCATTTTTTCCCCCGGTCGGAATTACTAGTAAATTTCACAAATTACAAAGAAAGAGCAAGTGACACATTGAATTAAATGTGAGATTTTGAATTTTGAAGAAGACATTCTGAATTTTGAAGTAGAAATACTGACTTTTCTTGTAAAACACACTCCAGTAATCTTTGTTTTATTTACAACTTAGAAAAATCAGCAGAACGTTCCCATTGCAAAAGCAAAAGTCTTGAACATGTAAAAGTCACTCATGATTCTGTATTCAAGCACAGATTTGAGGACATTTCCTCTCGTGAACCGTAGCTGTAGTAGCGGCTCTGAAATAAAGCACTGATCACAGTGTGAAATCATAGTGCTGCTATGTTTTTAAAAGAAGTCTCTTCTGCTCACCAAGGCTTCATTTATTTTATTAAAAATACAGTAAAAATGTTTTTACTATTCAAAATAACTGTTTTCTGTTGGAAAACATTTTAAAATGTAATTTATTGCTGTCATACAAAGCTGAATTTTCAGTATCGTTACTCCAGTCTTCAGTCACATGATCCTTCAGAAATCATTCGATCTCGATTAATCACATCCAAAATAAAAGTTTTTGTTTATATAATATATGTGTGTGTACAGTGTATATTTATTATGTATATATAAATACACAAACATGCATGTGTATATTTAAGAAAAATATGTTTTGTTTATATATAAAATATTTATATTTATATATAAACACATATATTATATAAACAAAAATGTTATTTTAGTAGATCATTAATTAAAATAAAAAATTTTGAAATCAAAAGAAATAAAAAACAATTTATATTTTATATTCATATAATATAATTATATTTATATTATATTCATATTATTCTATTTTATGTATTATATATATATATATATGTCACAAAAATGTTTTTTTTAATGGTTTTCATTTCAGTTCCAGATTTAGTTATCTATAATAATAATCTTGATTCATCTTCCCCGTCCAATTAATCTCAATGTATAAAATCAAGTTCTGCAATTTCATATAGACTTTCAATAAAACTCCATCAAGTCTCCTGAGTTTTGAGCAAAAACTGATCACAGATCTTTTTGTTTATTGCCCATCTGTCATTCTGTGGATGCTGAGAGCGGCCGGACCATCATGAAGCTGTGTGTATTAGTATGCAGTATGCAGTATGTGGCTCAGGGTGGGCAAGAATAAAATGCTATTTTGTATATCTATGGAAGTGGCCTCGTCGCCTCTGGCTGGAGACAGTGAGATTACTTACAAACCGGCACATTTTTATGAGCATTTCGAGCCCTAAAGGATCCAGAACCACCAACAAAAAGGTGCTGCAGTGACCCCCATTTTCAACTGCGTTTGTGGTTCGCCAGAGATAAAGAAGTAAGCAATGAGATATATTTTCTTCTTAATTATAGGGCTCAGCCACGTTCCCGGATTCATCTTCATTGTTCTGAACCAGCAGTCCTGAACTGTCCTCCGACTCGAATATATTTCCACGTCTGACTCATCGCGGGCCGCCAGGATCAGACAAAGAGAGCGCGAGACAATGACTTCACCTCAGAGGAAGTGTATGGCATTTTATCTGTTTCAACTAAATGAACTTCTGTCAATGAAGTCGATAAATGAGTGCTGTAACCTGCTCCTTGACACGGGATGTCAAAGACAGAGATAACTCAAATGACTGGGGGAATGTCTTATCCAGTCAATAGCAGACAACTAGCTGCCGGTGACTCGTGTATGAAAATAGATGTTGAGTGTGAATAATAATACACAACACTAGAGACGGAGCCCTAGTAGAACAATGATTGAGACGCTCAAAACAGCGGCTATAGAAACGGAAGCCCCGCCCTCAAATCAAAATAGCCAATCACTTTACTGGGAAAGGTTCTATAGAATAGAAAAGGTTCTATCATTTAGAACCACTAAAAGGTTCCATTTAGAAACTTTCGTAAGGTTCTGTTAGTTACACATCATCTATATAGATTTGAGTTCTGTTTTAATGCCAAAACGTTTCTTCACACATAAACAAATTCAAGTATTAGCCTAAAATATTGAATTATTTACTTATTTTTAGCTTAAAGAACCCTGATATTATACTGTAGTTTATTATGTAAATATAATTGGAATAAAGTAAATAAAATAAAATAAATAGATGAAAAACTAACTACTGAAATAAATATGCACTAAAATTACTAAAATAAAAATAAATTAAAGCTATAGAAAAAAATGACAAGTACATAACAAAATTATTAAAACTTAAAATAAATTTAAATACATAGAATCTTGTAGGGATGGATATAAATTATATTTTAATGCTGAAACATTTCTTTCAACATATTTGAAATATTTTAAACTCAAGTATTAGTCTAAAATATTATTTTTTTACTTACTTTTTAGCCTAAAGAACGTCTCGGTTACGTATGTAACCCTCGTTCCCTGAAGGAGGGAACGGAGACGTCACGTCGGATGACCGACGAATTGGGATCTCGCTTAGAGGGACCAATCTACTTCTTGCCAATGTGCATTGGCTCGTTTAGTTTACACTCGAAGTAGATTGGTCCCTCTAAACGAGATCCCAATTCGTCGGTCATCCGACGTGACGTCGAGAGTGACCGACTGAAAGGGAACCCTGTTATTATACTTTACGTTACTATATAAATATAATTAAAATAAAATATTATTAGATGAAAATTTTAAACTTAAATATGTTACCTTGGCAACCAACTGAATAAATAATAAATAAGTACTAAAATTACTAAAACTAAAACCAAAATAAAAATAAATAAAAGCTATAAACGTATTAAAAATAATAACATTAAAAATGACAAAAGCACATATAATTATTAAAACTTAAACTAAAAAATAAAATGTTTAGAACCTTGTAGGGATAGATTTAAGTTTTATTTTTAAAGCCAAGACATTTTTTTTTACATTTTTGAATTAAATACTTAACATCAATAAGTTCAAGTACTAGCCTAAGAAATGTAATTATTTACTAACTTTTTAGTCTAAAGAACCATGTTATTATACTGTAGGTTTTTATATACGTATAACTGAAATAAAATAAAATAAAATATTAGATGAAAAACTTAAACTTAATGTTATCTTGGCAACTAACTGAAATAAATATGTAAATTACTAAAACTAAAACTGAAATAAAAATAAATTAAAGCTATAGAAATATTGAAAAAAATATATATAAAAATGACAAAAGCACATAACAAAATTGCTAAACTTAAGCTACACTGTAAAAAATGATTGTGATTTTAACAGTAAAAAACTGTAAAAGTGCTACAGTAAAAACCTGTTAATTGGTTATCAGTAACTTTCCATACTATATGCTGTGAATAACTGTAATTACATTTAATGTAATTTTACAGTAAAATACTGTTAAAATTACGGTTTTTGGAAGTGAAAAACTTATCAGTTGTGTACATTAGGGCTTTATCTAATGTTGTTAAATTAATGTTTACTGCATTATTTCAGTATCATGCATGTTACCATTATGGTGTTTAGTGTTTGTGTGAATGACACTGTGCACCTTCTATATATATATATATATATTAGTATTTCCCTTCTCAGCTTGTGGAAGAGCTGTTTATGATAAGCTTTGATTCATCATGTGACTTTCTCATCACTACTTCTTTTTGGTGGTTATCAGTATTACAATGGTTCAAAACAGATATTAGTACTTCAATATGCTGGTTTATTAACATTACATCAGTTAATGAAATATGTTTTTTTTATTGTGAATTTAAGTTAAGTCTGTAAAACCTAAAATATTGCTACCATATTTTTAACTGTGAAATTCTGGCAACCACAGCAGCCAGAATTTTACCGTAAATGTCACAGATTTTTTTTACAGTGTAAAGTTAAAATATATAGAACCTTGTGGATTTAATTTTTGTTTTAAAGTCAAAACATTTCTTTTAACATCTGACATACAAGGGTGTAGGTTTGATTTTGGCATTGGTGGGGAAATAACGGCAGACAGACGTTTAATTGTTTGATCAAAATTATTGCTATGCAGGAGTTGGGTCTCTTATACAGATACATGGCAGGTGAATGCAAATGTTTATCAGAACTTCCTTCAGCAACACGGGGTTCCTTCCCTGCGTTCATCTCCCAATCAGCCTGCAATTTTCATGCAAGACAATGCTCCTGTCACACTGCAAAACGGGTAAAGCAGTTCCTTGAAGCCAAGAACATAGAACTAATGAAATGGCCGGCCCAGAGTCCTGATCTAAACCTGATTGTAAATCTATGGAAAATCCTTAGCGACAAAGTTATGGCTAATAATCCCACTACAGTCACCGAACTATGAAGAAGAGTGGACCAAGATCACACCAGCGCAGTGTGAGAAACTAGAGATGTGCTGAAGTCACTCAAAGCAGGGCCTCTACACTTCCTACTAATTTCTGACAGCTGTAACCCTCCAAAATGTTAGATGTAACCTTCCTTCATGCTACAGTGGTTACTGTTCTCTAATTTCGATCACTGTGTTTTCCACAAAATAATGTTTATTTGTTTAAATTCTCTGGTTGTTTTGTCAAACATGTTAGTAGAACAATGGTATACCCACAGCAAATATTCCTTCAAATTTTGAGTGATGAAGATTAACAATATTTCAGAAAAAATCAAGTATTTATAGATTGTTCTCTCATTTTGATCTGCACTGTAAATATAACTGAAATAAAATAAATAAAAATGACAAAATCATAAAATAGCTAAAACTTAAACTCAAATTAAAATTAAAGGTGTCATATGATGCAATTTCAATTTTTCCTTTCTCTTTGAAGTGTTACAAGCTCTTGGTGCATAAAGAAGATCTGTAAAGTTGCAAAGACTAAAGTCTCAAATCCAAAGAGATATTCTTTATAAAAGTTTCAGAAAGGCGGGGCATAGAGGAGAAACAATAATGTACAGTATGTGGAAAATAATGTGTTTTTGAACCTTAAACCACATAAACACATTTCATTACACCAAATACACAAAATAATAATTTTTAGCAACATCATATGACCCCTTTAAAACCAATTCAAATATTAATACACTAACAGCATAGAAATGATAGAATAACACTGTCACCAACTTGAAAAATACTGTCATCCGGCCTGATTTGAGCTACAGAAGCAAAATCTATGATACGTTTTATTTGTGGATTGATATGGATCATTACTCGAGAGTTTGTCGCTTGGCTGTAGTTGAAATGATGAGTATCTCGTATCTTGGAAAGCTACAGCTTTCTCAACGCTGTCTGACACGATAAAGGTGACTTTACAGCATCATTGTAAGGTTACCTGCATTGGGAAGCAGGGGTCGGCGTTGCTGCAGGTGTGCAGACAGTCCCGTCCCTCTGCGAAGGTGCTTCGGCTGGAGCTCTGAGGAGTGAAGGAGATGTCGTGGTCGATGTACTGGCCCCAGTCCACCAGCATCTGGGAATAAGCGCTGTCCTCCAGGACGGCCATGCTGGAGCCGCACATGATTTCATTGCTCACTTCTCGAACCTTAGAAAGCAAACCAGAGTGACTTCAGATTAGATGCATTTCCGCCATCATTCTGACCATCAGTTTTACACTCAAACATTTATGCTGAACATAAATATAGGCATAACTAGTATAATACTTAGTGTTTATGGGTTTGTAATGCCTGACATATGAAATACTAGTTTTTTTTGGTCTGTTTTTTAATGGGACAGTTTATTACACCCTTTGACAAATAAGGATCTAAAAAAAAAGCCCTTTGCACTTAAACTCTATTCTTACTAGATCATTTGATGCTATTGTGCTTAAGCAAATAAAACACGAGGATTTGCTGTGGTGAATAAAATGAATGCATGAAAACGAGTCTTGATATGCTGTTGTTTTGTGTGTGTGGGCAGTCAGGGAAATCTCATTATACCCCTCCGCCAGTGTTTGTTTACCTGTTAAAATGTCATTAAAACCACTAGCAATTAAACCGCTATTCGCCAAAATTAGATGAAAGTGTTTTTGCCCTCTTGCACAATGTGAGATGTGGCAACGTGAACATTTGTCACGGCGCTTCTTGCACTGAAGTTCTGCAGCCTTTGCCTCATTAAAAAAATTGTTTCAGTGAGGCGCGCTGGCAGCGACGCTCGTGTTTCTCTGCGTTTGGGAAGAAGAGGTTGTGCATATTTAAAACAGCGCACAGCATTGCATTTTTAATGCGATAATAGAGCAGGGAAAGGCCAATGTGTCACAGGTAGATGTGAGATGGAGCTCTTCTGAGGTGTTTAATATGCAATGTTTTCTCAAGCTTATTTGGCAGGTGTTCACAGATATATAATCTAATAATCATGCAATGCAAACAAGTATGCCATGATTTGATGATGTAAGTCAACATTCATTTTACACAAAAATGGCTTGAATATCTTTGCTCCCAACGACTATTGTGTCTTGTTTTCCAGTGCAAATGTCTAAAGATTCATAAATCAAGATGCATTTACTTGAGAAGCAAATCTTATGACTTAAGATAAGAAGTCTTGTTTTGTGTGAAACTGATCAAAATCAAGAGAGTTTATGATTAAATCAAGAACAAATATCTGCCATTGAGCTCAGAAAATTCAACTTAATTTAAAGGGAAAACAAGTTGATTTTTTTCTTATTTTAAGCCTAAACTCACTTGAGTTTATTCAACTTCTCAGAAAACAAGACTTCATCTGTTCAATTTGCATCTCAAGTAAATGTATCTTGATTTTTAGATATTTATATTAGAAAACAAGACAAAAATACTGATAATATATTCATTTTATTTTGCAGTGCATGCAACATTTAATGCCATGACTTTATGAATTTAAGACTTTCTGCTCTGATGTTAGGCCTTAATTTGTGGAAGGGTGAAATAAGACTTTTTACGACTGATAATGACATGAGCTCATTAGCATACGAGGGCACTCATTTGCATATCATTTCATTCCAGTTGCATTGAGTAACTCCTCCCCACAGTGAATCATTTTGTTCTGCACATCAGTTTCAGTCCTGTCTTTCATGAATTGTGAGGATATTCTCATGCAGCTCACCAGAGGAAGTTGGAAGCCGCTGTATTGGCGTCCGGTGTTCCAGCCTTTGGGTTGGTTTTCTTCATCCTCGTACTCCGCCGGAAGCCATCTGGCCAAGCCGGTGTTGGCTGCTCCCCAAAGCGGGTTCTTCCTAAAAAAAAACACAGTATGAATGCATGTGATCAAAAATGTCTCATGACATTGCATTTTTAAAGAATATAAGGGAACAGCTGCTGTACTAAAGAGCTCACAGTCAATGCATTATTGCAATTAATATTCTCACATTACTTTCAAAAATGCATTGTCCTTCATCGGCCTGTAATTCTACATTGCATGACCTCAGAAATGACAGGACCTGACTATTAATGGCATTGCATACTGTACATTTCATTTTCTGGCTCAATGCAATGCATAACATCTCTCAGTAACTGAATATAAACAAATATACTCATTCTTTAAATGTTTTTGTCAATGCATTTTGGGTTTGAACTAGAATAACAAGCACATTCATTCTAAGCACTTAGTTGCCCTAACATTACTTGGCAAATCATAACATCACACCTGATATGTGCATTTCAGAGGCTTTTCACCAGATTTGTATGCACTTCGATTATTTAGTCACAAATGTAGTACAAATATTCAATTTGGTCTCTCATAAAAACTGCATGTATAACTAGACTTTTACACGTTCTGAAGAAAATGTGAGTGATTTTTGCCTGTGCAAAACTCAACACCACAGTCAAGTCGTTTATTTATATAACGCTTTATACAATAGCTTCACGTTTATAAAACAGGAAAATAATTCATGTTGATGTTTAATGTTTGATAATTAATGTTAATGTTGTAAAATGAATCAATTATGAAAAAACATAATTTTTAGCTGTAAAGCAGAAAATAAATTAAATCATAAAACTGTTCATTTAACTGTATATTTATATATCTATTTAAACAAAACCAGTCAAGATTCAACACTTACTAAAAACTATAAAAATCATAGGAATGTAAAATTTAAATATATAAATAATTTCCAAATAAAAGCACATCCAAATAAAACACTTACTAAAAATGTGTTAAACCATGAAAATATTAAATTATAATAAATACTTTTACATAACAATTTCTAAAATAATTAATAATTTCCAAATAAAATCAAATTGAAATAAAATACTTACAAAAAATTGATTAAATCATAAAAATGCAAAATTATACTAAATATTTGATAAATTAAAACAGTAAAAATATAACACTGAAAATTACTGAAATCATAAGAATGTAAAACTGAAAAAAAAGTGCTGTTGCTAGGGTGTTTCTAGGATAATTGGGTGTTTTCTTATTGTCTCAAGTCAAAAAACTGCATGCTTACATCTATGTGATATTTGAATCTCTACATTTGAGAATGATCAGAACAAACACTCAAATATATAATTTGATGCATCAGAACTGGACGGATATGGTACATTTCCTCCCACAAATGTAAAATAATGCTATAAATCTTGCTAGCCGAGCCAGTGTGGAGAACTGGGATTAATTTCCCCAAAGCCAAATCAATCATATGCATCATAAAGGAAAAGATAAGGAAAAACCACATATTGAGTTTATTCTGATTTAAATCTGTTTATATGATTGCAGACAGCTCTATCAGCGCAATGCAAATGAATCCACACTGCAAAAAAGATTGATGTTGTCTTGTTTTGCAGTACAAATATTTAAACATTCTTAAATCAAGATTCATTTACTTGAGATGCAAAATTGTTTAAGCTATTAAGTCTTGTTAAAAAGATAAAAATGAAGTGAGTTTACACTTAAAACAAGAAAAAATATCTGCCAGTGGGGTCAGAAAAAATAAACTTAATTCAAAAGGGAGAAAAGATAATTTTTCTGACCCCGTTGGCAGTTCATCTAATTTTGATATTTTCAATTTATCGTATGCAATTTTGTTTCTCAAGTAAATGTATCCTGATTTAAGAATGTTTAGATATTTTACTGAAAAAAACAAGAAAAAAATACTTGTTTAGAAAATAATTTTTCACAGTGTGAGAAGCAACACACAAGTATTTTTTGTCTTGTTTTTCTTAAACTTCATGATTTTTTGATTTAGTATTTTTGTCTAGCAAAATTACATAAGATATTAAGTCTTGTTTTCTAAAAATATGTAAAAATTAAATGAGTTTAAGCTTAAAACAGGACAAAATATTTATATTAAAAAATAGATATTATTTTACTGAACCCACTGGCAGATATTTTTTTTCTTGTTTTATGCATAAACTGCATACACACACACACACACACACACACACACACACACACACACATATATATA